TCTTCTTCCTATTATGATCTTGTGCTTAAGCTCTGGGGGTGGTTGGGGAGGCTCATCCCGGCTGGGACCCAACAAGATGGTTAGTGTTTGCAAACTCCTCAGCTACTGTTTTTGTGGAAAGGTCATTATTTTTCCCTTTTTACTGAAGGAGAGTCTTGAAGGATATAGTACTTTGTTTTGAATGTCATTCTATCCTTCCTTTGCTTACATGCGGTTACCTTTTAGAAATATGATGCAATTTTTATGGGAGTAACTTTACAGATTATCTGGGTTGTTTTTTTTTTTTTTCTATCTACCCACTTTCAATATTCTTTGTCTGAAAATTTTGGAAGTTTGATGACAAGGTGTCTTGTTGTATGACTCTTTATATTTAAAAGTACCTGTGGGCTTTTAACTTCATGGACTTGTAAATTTAGTTCCTATCCCAAATAAGGGAATTTCTCCTTGTTTATTCTTTGAGTAAGATCTCTGTTCCCTTCTCTTTCTCTTCATCTACTGTGTGTGTTATTATATTCATGTTCACTGATTTGATTTTACATTATGTCTATTATTGCTACAGGATAGCCCAGAGTGGACCGGGCTGTGCCGCCTGTCTATGGGGACTCACCTGCATGCTCGGATTTCAGTTATACTGCAGGCACACACAAAAGAGTCAAGTAACTGGAATACATTAGCAGCTTGGCTGACTGAAAGCACTGAGTCAGGCAGAGCTGTTTCCAGAGAGAGAGAGAGGAGAGAGCTGGAGTAGAGGGTGGGGTACACAAGACTCTGCAGAGTTCCTTTAGGCCATCCTTCCCCTTAACATTATGTTTTCATAGTTTTCTCCAGAATTTTTTGTATTCTCTTGAATTTACACATGCTGCATCTCTGTTATTTTCTCTTTAAAGGTTCAATTTCTATTTTCTATTAACTACTTTTATTTCTCAAGTCATTGTTGCTTTTCTGAATTTACTTCTAGTTCTTTAAAAGTCTTTATCATGGAAATTTTGCACTCTGTATCTAATAGGAGATTAAACTCTTCCATGTCACTATGATCACGTTCTAGAAGGTACTAACGTTCCATGTGTTGTATTTTTCCATCCACATATTGACTTTTTTTTTTTTAAGTTATTGTAGCTGTAGCTTAGAAATTTACAGTACTTTTGTTTTTTCATCAGGCAGCAATGCAGGTGGTTTTCAAAAAATTTTTCCAGCTGTGGCACAGCCAATATCCTTTCTTTTTAGGATTTCAGGATTGAATCTCTGAAGACTGCCCACTGTCAGTGAGTTCCACATGTCACCCATCCTGAGGGGTGAGTAGGAGTGAGCCTAGTTATAGTCCCTATTACCCTCTTTGGGGCCCAGCCTAATAGGAACACCTTAGCTTTTCTGCACATCTCTCCTATGTCAATAGTGTGCACCTCCAGACCACTAAGTTCTCCCTTCCCCAGAGCTCCTGGCCAAGTGGCAGAGCCATGGTTTACAATACAGCGTGCTTCTTGAGACCACAACCTCCAGGCATTTATCTCCACCCACTTCTTGCTTAATTAAGCATGAATCTCTTCAATGTTTCTTATGGTGCAGTCTTTACCTAATTTTATTCTTCATTTCTGTGGAGCTAAAATATTTTACAATAATTTTTATTTTAAATATTGCAGTGAAGAGAGTTCCAGGCAAAGGTGGAAAGCACTTGGCTTTACTTAACAAACTGTGTATCTGGAATGTACATTCCAGTGTATCTGGAGTGGAAAATAAGCACGAAAAGAAACTCAGAGAGGGCAGCAGAGGCCAACTCATAAATACCTAAGGACATTTTAAGAATTTGTCACAATGTATCAGAAGTAACTAAAGGATTCCAAATAAAGATTTTAAACAATCTAAATGCTTTTTGTCTTTTTAAAATATATTTAATTTCATTTTTGTATATAGTTTACATCAGGTGTAGTGCCCATAGAATTCCCACCACCAATTCACCCATGCACCATTACCTTAGTCCCTTGTGTATCTTCTTCCTCTCCTCCCCTGAAGAAAGTCTCTGACTTAATAGCTTTCTGATTATTTTTGTTCAGTTTTGTTGTGTTGTTTCTTTTTTTAATTACTTTTGTCCTGATCCCTTATTTGCTTTTCCTATATTTATCCTATAAGTGAACTCATCCAACAGTTTTCTTTTTCTTTTTGACTTATTTCACTGAGCATAATCCCTTCTAACTCCATCCATGTTGCTGTGATTGGATTAGATTCTCTCTCTCTCTCTCTCTCTCTCTCTCTCTCTCTCTGGCTGAATAGTATCCTATTGTGTATATGTACCACATCTTCTTGATCCAGTCATCTATTTTTGGGCATTTGGGTTTTTCCCAAGTCTTATCTATTATAATTAGTGCTACAGAAAACATAGGGATGCATGTATACTTTTGAATTAATAAACAACGTAATTTAATGTTAATAAAATAATTCTGGTTGCTCTATCTGGGAGTTCCTGTTAAGTACTAAAACCTAACCTATGGGGTCAAAGCATATATCATTGTATTTCTCACAAACCCTAAATTATGCAAGATTTATTCAAATCCTGGGACAACCAAGGGTATAATTTAAAGGTGGTATGCAGAGATGGCTTCTCTATACTTTCCTGCATTAGATTTATATTATGAAGCTGGAGAACATTTTGCAATGAGATTGTCACTATTCAAATTATGATATAGATATCAAAGTGGAAAAGATGTTGTTACCTAGAGTGGGTTTGAGAGCAAGAAGAAATGTCATGCTTTAAAGTAAGGGTCAATGAAAGATAAGGATAATATGAATCAATGAACAGGGGTTGGCATTCAAGATATGGGGAATAGAGAATATCACTCACAAAACTCTAGAAGAATCAGCATGGTACATGGAGTATAGCCTGGATAAGAACTCTAAGTTCCAAAATGGGTCAGTAACAGAAATTAATAATGGGTGTCTTAGGGGTAGTTTAAGTAATAAGAACTTTTTTCCTGAGGACAGAAAAGTATAAAGACTTTTAAGTGGATGTGAGCTTTTCAACAGAATATTTGCTTTTGCTTTGTTTTATGTAAAGTGGATGAGAGGACTATGTCAGGCTTTTATTCTTAACAGCTGAAGGTACCCTGCTATCCTCAGGTGCTTTCTTTACAATATACCTGCCACATTGCTGCCAGATTATGTCATCTCTTGCTTACACAATTTTGTCAAAATGCTTCACAGGTAAAATCCAAACTCTTTTGCCCAACATTCAAGACTCTAAAAAATTTTGACCCCAAAATACTTCTTTAAAAGCTTACTTTAAGAAAATTAATACTTTGGCTGAATAAATTCAGCTCCTAAGTTAGGTAACAGCATCCTATGGCCCTTTCCTTATGCTGTTTTTCCCCCTGGGATATTTCCATCCCTTTATTTACTCAGCTACAAACTTTCCTGGGTCTCAATGGCAGTAGACAAGAAAACAGAGCTACGAAACCAGGAACAAGTCTTTATTACAGCAAAAGGAGATCCAGGTAGCAACAGCATGATCTGTCCTGCTTGCCTGGTTGGAGCAGCCGCACAAGTGGATCAGGCGGCAGAAGCCCTGTACCAGCCCGAGTGGTGGCAGACCCCTGGAGCCCCTAGCTACTTACAGGCCCTCCTGGTAGCAGCAACAGCATCCAGCAGTGTTAGTCACCCTGGGCGCTCTGGCTGTGGAAGTGGCTCCGAGACCAGTGTATGTGGTCATAAGAGGCCTTGAAAGCCCATCCTACAGTCTCCATGAGCCCTGTTGGCTTTTATATGCTTTATAGATCAAGCCCACACAGAGCCAAGTTTAGGCTCAGTTTACACAGGTATTTTCATGCATTCAAACTATACATCAAGATTATATATTACCGATTTCCATACATGCAGACTACCTCTCAAAACTACATACTACCTACTTACTAGGTTGCCTGTGCTGTAAGATCATCTCAAAAACCACTCTGAAAAACTGTTTTCCCCACAGGCCCTATGAAATACTACCTGGGTTTTAAGGTCTAGTGCAAACCCTTTATCAGCTAGAAAGGTTTTTCCTACCTCTGTGAGCCAGGCTAATCATCTCTTCAGAACATATTAGTTACTACTATGCTAATGCTCTCGCATTTAACACAAGCCAGTTTACATCACTATTTCAGGTAGAGAGTGACACACAGTTCCTATGCTGCAACATTTTCCTTTATAAATTCTGAGAACTCCAAGGATCCAAGTTCAGTGCCCTGTAGACCACCTGGCTTAACAGCTGTTAGTAATGATGACCACACTTAAGTTTGACGTTGCTAATTGCTCTCCACTGGTAGTTACTAACTGATTTCTCCACCAACGCTACTGCAAGTCAAAAATTAGTAATGCACTAAGCCCTCAAATCTTTATCACACAGGTTTGGGGCTTCAGGCCCTTTTACATATTAGGGAAGGGGATTGCATCAATATAAAGGTTGCTACTTGTGCAGACAGCTACAGTGTAAGCAATAATTCAAGAAACCTGACTTTTAATATATTAAAGATTTGTAAAGCAAATGGCCTTTCACAAGTGCATGCTGTCTGTTCGCAGTCTGGCCTGAAAAGTCAAGGAAAAACAGCAGCCACTCTGAGATCAGAAAGGGCCCGAGTTTGGCAAGCCAAGAGGGTGGGCTCTAATCTCCTTTACCGTTGATTGGCTAGCTGCAGCCGCCTGGCCTGCAATGATTGGATGCTGGCGCAAGGGACGCCGGGATTAGCACGCAGTACTGGTCCTTGGATCCAAAAGGAGGCTGCAGTGGCGACGGAAGCTTCGACGGCAACACTCTCTGTGTCCTGCTATCCACAGATGCAGCGGCAGAGTTGGCCCTGTGGCGCGGCAGAAATTCAGTGCACTCATTGTGGAAGAAGGGCAACCAGAGCTGCCGGTGAGTGACCAGAGGTGAGCAGGCCGGCCCTGCTGCCTGGGCTTCAGCCTCGCTCTGAGGCAGGTGGTGGGTTTGGATAGGCCTGTGGCCTGGGCACCAGGTGGTCTGGCCGGTGTCGGGAGCTGGCAGGTTGCCCTCAGATGTACGTGGACATGGTGCCTTGGACCTCCTCAGGACCGGCAGACCCCCCCCTTCAGTGGGAGGTGGGGAAGTCAGTCTGTTGGGAGAAACTTCTTGCCCTGCAGGTGTCACCAGAAGCAGGTGAGGGCGTTTAGTTCTGGTTAGTGAACTTCCCTGACTTCACAAGTTCATGACTTCGTCTTGTGGTCAAGAAGTAACAAAACTTTACTTCTTTGTGTAGTTTTTGCTGTGGGAGTAACACACTCCCATGAAATGTTTATTTAAAAAGAAAAATTAGGGGTTGTGGGGGCCGGGCAAAGACACTGCTGAAGTAGGCTTAAAGCATCGTTTAGAAAACGAAACCTTATGTTTCATGTTTGTGTTTTTATGTATAAAGGGAGGGTTACATTGCACTCTCCTATTGTTCTGCCAATTTAGAATCTACTTAAGTGAGAACAGGTTCAAGTTATTTTAAATAGTAATTTGATGCTTTAGAATGCTGTGTTCTCTAATGAGTAGTTGATTTTCACCACCTGGAGTGACTGAAAAGCTGCTTGTGACTGATTAGCGTTTGCATTTTCTGAGTGAGTCATTTTCAGTTCCTCCAAGGACTCCCTTTAGGAAACATGAATCAGCTTAAAAAAAAAATCCTGTTTGAATGAAATAAATATTTCAAAACGATGTTTTAAAACATGGCCTTTTAAATTACTGTTTGTTCTATATATTTGAATTACAATACATAAAAATACTGGGAAGGTAATTTTGCATATAGACTTGTGAAAGTGGTTTATAAGCTGTAAAGTTGAAAAATAGACAAGGTTTTTGGACTTGTGCAACATTACAAATTTTGTAAAAATAAAAAAGTTGAACTTTTTTTATTTGGTAATGTTATCTGTGGAATTGTAATATATATTTTAATAAATATATTTTAAATTTTAATAATAAAATATTTTAATAATAAAATACATTTTAAATTTTAGTTTGGTTTTAAGCAAGTTTCAGGTATTTCAATTGGCTTAAAAACTAAAGGCTTGTTATCAAAATAAAACAATTGTGAATCAGCAAGAACACTTATTTTTTTACTAGTAAAATGTGGGTGACTACTTTTTCTCTTGCAGAATCTTAAAATGACAGTCTTTGAAATTACATAGCTAAAACAAGTCTTTCATTAGATAAACTTCAGGCTGTACTTAGAACATTAAAATCTTGATATAAGTTTTTAATGGTATTTCCCATAATAGATACTAGGTCTCTGAAAATGTTCATTATGTCAGTCTTTATGTGTGTGAGACAGTAGTGTTATCTGGCCTTTGTCCTCGCCAGTGTCTTAGATCATGGTAAGACAGGAGTCCACTCAGTGTCTCATGTCTGCCTTTCCTGTCTCCTGCACAGAATAGGAAATAAAACTTAGCAGAAGATAGTATAATGAAGTAGAAAGAACACTGGACTTGGAAGCAATACTAGGCTTGTATCTGAATCATACCATTAGCTAGATCACCAAAATGTTTTCCCATTTCTAGGTTAAATATTACCCCAGCCAGTTTAACTGTAATTTATATAAATTTATAAAATAATTTATATTTTATATTAAAATTTATAAAATCAAGTGAATTATGTCAGAGCACTTTATGTGAATACACCATAGAAAAGTCCAAATATAATGCAAACAATATTACATTACACTTTCTGATTTTTCTCCATCCTCCTGACTTGGACAACTTCTCTTGACTTTCATTAAGTCATCCATTTCAAAGTGTAATACAAAAGTTTTCCGTAATTTTCTTCTCTACTACTACTACTCCACATTTAATAAACTATGGCAAGTTTGACTCACAATAGAATTTCACTAATAGGTCACCATTATGAACTTCAGTGTGGACATACTTTTTGTGAACTGTGTTTGTTAATAACTGAAGAATACAGCACAATTACATGCCCTGATTGTGAGGTAAGTTTCTTCTCTTCTGTCATACTGAATGCATTCCAAACTAATGCTAAAGGTAAAAGTGTTTATGACATAAAGCATATTTGTAGTTGGAAAATAACAGCATATTTGCTATAGAATCTTTAAGCAGAGAAACCTAACAAAAGATAAGCTTTCCCATTCATTTTATAATTGTTCAGAATCACCAAAAAGAATACAAAGGTAAGGTCACATTCATTTACCAACCTACATATTTGGAGAACTTTGATGGGAAATTGCCTCATTTTATTCTTAATTAATGTGTTCTTTTCATACACTTACCCTCCCTTCCCACAGTACACAAACAAATTTTGAATTTTTTTTTCCCCCTTAGACTTTTGGTGTTATTAAATTTATTTGTAAAGTTGCCATCATTTTTAAAAGACAGAGAAGCAAAATAATGGCCTAATCATAATGTTAATTCAAAAGCAATAAAAATAGTACACTTGCACTGGTAGTAAAATCTTTGAATCCATAATAGTGAAATAGATATATAATTTAAAATAAAAAATAATGAACATTCTTTGCTCCAAATATGTATATAGCTCAAAGTCTTGGGCTCTGAATTTTTAAGGTTCTACTTGAGATGATTGTAGTATGGCAAGTAAGAAGCAGAAGACCTGGAAGTCTTGGTTCTGTTACCCTGATAGAAATCTCCTCATTTATGAGATGGAAATAATAAGTGGTGTCCTTATCTCATGGGTTTGTAAATGTTACATATGAATTATATAAATGTTCTCAACAAGCTTAAGAACTTTGATTATTAAGATCTGGATTAACTGGATTATTACAACATGTCAAGCATATATAAATTTATGAACATTTTAATTATAGCAAAAACATGTCTATTTTGAAATTACATAATTTACAACTATGGTCTTTATTGTGGGAAATTCCTGCCTCCTTTCCTTTTTTGACAATGTAGCTAATCAAAGAGGATCCCAGCTTCTGTGGTAGTAATTGAAGATCTCTGATAGACTCAGATAGTGGTAGATGAAAACAGAAGAGAGGAAAGGAACCAGCAGCATCTGGCACTGTTTCTGCCCACCTCCATTCTAATTAATTTTAAAAAATAGACAATCTTTTGCCTATTTTTGGCAAATGATTTTATATTTGTCAAATATATATATACAAATTGTACTATTTTGAATAACATCTATATTCAAATTTACAAATGTTGGTTATAATTTTAGGGTTGTGATAAATCTACTTATTATCATTTTGATTAATTCTGACTTTAAAGAAATGATTAGTTCTGACTAAGAAATGTAATGTGCTCCATGGCTCCATATCCCCTTGTGCTTATAGCCCATGTAATTGACAAGAGACTATATTCAGCTACTTAAGCTGCACTAAAACTGGTCAAGGGAGGAGTCGATCAAGAAACCTTCTTGAAATTATTACTCTTTTATTTTTAAGGTTTAGATTTTATTGGTATCTTAGAATAAGAAAGAATGGAAGAAGCTAGTCTAAATTAGTGAGAAGTCTGAATTTACAGAATATTTCAGGAATGTAGTTTCTTTCAAATGATAATAAAACCTGTATTCATATTAGACTTAATGTTTATAATTTATCATTAATGTTAAAGGCCTAACAAATGCTATTTCAAACTTAAGCCTAAATTGATTTCCTGCAGGATTGATTGGTATTATAATTGTTCTTATGAATTTAGGTGACCAATCTAGATAAAAACCACCAGATTTTACCTTTCATAATATGTTGTGTTTTATGTAATAAAATCTCTTCTCTGTTTTTGATAGATATTAATGGCTAGTTAATAATAGTCTGTAATTTTGCATAGGAGGATTACAGATTTTGTTCAAAGGTAGGATCATACTTAAGAATGATACTTAGGTGTCATTCCAAAAATACTAGCATTTTACTGATCTTTTGGATCTGAGTCCAAAAATATATTGGACTGTGAGGAAAGGCTACATTTCTAAGTAGTATATAATTATATATTAAAATCCCATGTGGATTGTGTTTATAACATGAAATTTAAACTCATACAAAATATTTAGATAATTGTATAATCTTGGATGGAGAAGTCTTATTAAACATATCCTTGAAGCCAGAAACCAGTAGATAAAGTACTGATCAAATCCTACACTTTTCATTTGCAAGTTACAGATAAGCAAAACCACCACCATAAATAAAACTTAAATGAGGGAATGAGGGAAGAAAGCCTTTATTATATAAATTACACATTAAGAATCTTTATACAGCTTTAACTGAAATCCCTTAAATAACTTATATCCTATATTTTCTTAAATTTTTTTGGTAGATATATCCTTTGTCAAATTTGTTGATTGTCACATTAAAGTCTTACTATGAAATGCCAAAGTGAAGATGGGAAGATAAATATAGAGTTACAGAAATTAAGGTTTTATTCCCAATTTGGGGGAAAGTGGTTCTTAAAATTAACAGTCCAATGTAATTTTTCCTTAATTATCTAATAATACATGGCTATCTTTGGTATCTTACATAAATCCTTGACAGAACATCCTTTTTCCCAATCAAAAATGTAAATATATGTAGAATGCTATAACATTTATCACTACTTTGTTACAAAGATTAATTTAGGGACATTTCCTGTATTATTTTTAGTGGCTGCATAACAGCCATTGCACAGCTTACTTTAGGTGGCTTTTAAAGTTTTTCATACCTTTGCACAAATACTCAAACCCACCCCCATTAAAAAAGCTTTATTAACAACTTCTGTTATCTTTAGCTCAAAAACAAATCATGCTTTTAAATTTGTCGTATTTGTTTTGATATTTATCAATGATGGTCAAAAGATGTGTAAAAATTAGGCACAAACTTGTTTTAAATTGCTTGCTCCTGACTGCTGGTGAAACTGAGCAATATTGACTTGTGTTAGCTTAACATTATTTTTGTATGTTGATTTATCATCTCCCTTTCTGGAAGAATCTTTAACAGATCTTTTTAAATCCTTTGCATATTTTCCTTTTGAATTTTTGCTTTAATGATTTTTTAAGATTATCAACTTTATGAATGGCATAATTGTTTGAAACCTAGGTAAACAATTTATTAAAAGATTTTTGGTTTTTGTTTGTTTTTAATGTTATTTGTCTCAAGGTTGCTACAACTACAAATTGGAGACAAGAATATTACCCAGCAGATGGGTGTATCAAAGAAGATTCTTTTATGGAAAAATTGCAGCCGAAAAAGTATGTTCTAGTGTGTTTATTTTAGAATTTAAAGTTCAATATATTTATGAAGGATTGACAAAATGTTTCTAGGCCATTATTTATAGGGTGCTCTTTAAAATTTATAATTTGTCTTAGCTGTTAATGAAATGTGGAATGAAGCTCCTAATAAAGTTTAGCATGTCTTTATTTAATGTGAAAAAGAAAAGCGCAGGATTACCACATCCCTGGTGGTGTAGCGGTTAAAGTCTCAGCACTATGAAGCTATAACCAGCCACTGTGGTATGAGTTAGATCCCCAACTAGGGAGCTGATCTACATGGCACAGCCTTTCCTGTCTTGCCTGCTGCTCCCCTCAGTAGTGTATTCAGTAGATCCACCTGTTCTGCTATCTACTCTCTCTCTGGTGAATCCTTTCACTGCCCTGTACCTCTGACTTACACCCCAGTTCTTGTAAGTATAAAAAAATAAAAATAAAACTTAAGTGAGAAAGAAAAATCCAGGAGTACCACATCAAATAAGAAGAGCTGAGAGTATAATACTAGCAAAAGCTTTTGATTCTGTGTAAGAGGAACATGTGGGAAAAATAATATTTCTTTAGTTAGTCTTAGGAGTAGCATGGGTACAATATAATGGAGGACTTTGAATAGAACTGTCTAAGAGGTGATTTAAAAATCGGATTGGAAATCCTTTATTTTCTATTTTTCCATAACATGTACATGTTTGTATGTGTATAAATAGGCATTGGTTTGATATTAATGTGTAGAATTTAAAAAATATATTTATTATTTATTTTTGCATACAGAACTGGGGTAAAGGCCAGAAGTGCAGGGGCAGTGAAAGGATTCACCAGAGACAGAGTAGAGAGCACAACAGGCTGACTGAGGAAGCACACTGCTGAGGGGAGCAATGAGCAGGACAAGAGAGGTCTGCCATGCCATGTGTGTCACCTCTGGGGCAGAGATCCAACTCATGCTGAAGTGACTTTAGCTCCTTAGTGCTGTGCTTTAACCCGCTATGCCACCAGGGAGGGCCCAATGCGTAGAATTTTAATTAATTTATATTCCAGCTAGAGACATGCACATATGTCATATTTGTTGCACTTATTTATATGTCCCTTTGTTAGTCTGTAAAGCCCCTTTAAAAGTATATGCCACACTAAAGCATACTTAGCATGGTAGTAAATTATGAAGAAAATTAAAGAAGCAGTACCATTAAATAACAATCTCATTTGGAATCTTAATTTTGTTGATGGTAACAGGAATCTCTGAATCACCCCAGTTCTTCATTTGTCATTCATTTTGCCTCCTGCAGATTCTAACTTCAACACTATCTCCCATATTCATAATTTACTTTCCATTTCTATTGCACTGTTTAATTCTTGTTCTCTTTTTTCTACCTCTTAAGCCATTCAGATTCCTTTTTCTATAATTTTTCATTGCCTATCCAAATAAAATCCAAAATTCTTTAGCCTAACACTTAGGACTTTTCATATTACTCCTGCAACTTCTCTGACTAAAATATAATAGTTATATTCTTTGGGTTATTAAGTGGACTTAACTAAAGTCTCATTACTAGTTATTGATAGCATCCACAAGTAACCCAGGGTTATTGAATGTCAGTACTTTCCAACTCCTATGAATGTATACACCAGTATACATTCTCACTTCCTCTGTAAGATATCTGTGAACTAATTGGAGTAAATCTTTTGGAGGTTTTCTGGCTTCATATGATTCAGTGTCCAAATCTAAATATCTACAGGGGCCTTTTTTTTTGTTTTATAAGGGAGACTGAATCTAAACAATGAACAGTACAGGTTGCTTGTGGCCAACTAAATATCCTTTCCAAAGGCAGTAGCCACTACTCCACTCTAGTCAATTATTCCTACCTATTATACCAACCATGTGTTGCTAGGTCTTTTATTTTTTCTAAGAGAAAATATGATAGAAATCTAGATTTCTATGTGAAATTTCTGACTTTTAAACATCAGTTATATTGTTATCTACATGTGTATAACATCTAGTGTGGTTGCAGAGTGAAATGTTATTTTCAAAAGTCAGTGAATCCATTTCAAGTTTAGCCACAATTTTTCAAAATGATCAGTTTTTAAGTTATCCATGCCAAATTCTTATGTTACAAACTCATATCCCTTAATTTCAGTAGAGTTTGGTTTCTAAATCATAGGACCCTTTGATATAAAATATATTTCTTCCCTTATATATCTTTAATATTTTGAAGCAGGAATTAATACTGCATCCCTCAGGTCTAATACACTCATGTATGTTTTTAAGACATGAATAGTCACTTTTTGAATGTTAAAAATTAATCTTTCTCTCTAACAAGAGTAACATTTAAGCATCATATTTTCTCTAGAAACTATTTTAGACTTATGATTAACTTAACAAACTGTTTACTGCATGCTAATCAAATAGTAATATGGAGATAAAAACAGGCAAACATTTGAGAATCAATAAATGAGAAATGCACCAAACTTTTTCTTACATCATTGTTCATTCTTGTACAATATTTTATTTTCCCCTCATGTCTAGTTCCCATAATTCTCCCTCCACCATGAGATAGCACCCATGCCCATGACCATCACCGTAATCCCTTGTGCTCTTACTTCCCCTGTTTTGACCACTCTTTTCCCTCTCACCTGCTGATGCTTCAGATCTGTGGTTTGCCTGCAAGCTTTGTCTTTTTTCCTGTACCTTGCAATGAACTTTTCACTTGAGAATTAACTTCTTGGTAAATCTCTACCAAAATTATTAGGTAAGGAGAAGAGATTGAGAAGTTAAAGCAAAATTTATACTGTAACCTATTTTTAGGAATTTGTTAACTTGAATTCTTGATTAAATTTTTTATAGATAGCATTTGTAGGTGTGGTTTTGTTACAGGGTACCCCAATGTGAATTGGGTTGCCTGTCTGTGGGTCTTCACCTGTGCACTTACGATTCAATTGTATTATGGACACACTCAAAAGGTTAAATAATGGATTTATTTATAAGGAGAAAGGTAAAGGAATAACCCAGGGAAAGAGGGAGAGAAACACAGGTTAACTAGGATATCCTACCAGCTCTGCTGACTTGGACTCCACCGGCACACTGAAAACAGATTGAGAGCCAAAAACGATCAGCTGCGAACCACCAGGTCAAGTCCCCCCAGAGCTCACATGTCCAGTTTTATCCCATCCTGGCTGCTCAGCTCTGCCCTCATGTCCTGGCGTGCTTCTCCTTGGTACTGATGGGATTTGGAGTTCCAGTATCTGGAGTGGGGGGCGGAGTCCATGAAACCTGTACCTGTTACAGTTTCCCTTTCTGTTTATCACAGATTATTAAGGACTCACTTGTGCTCGTAGGTTATATGAATTATTTCGATAGAGGATAAAATAGAATTGACAGCTATAACTGGTATATCGATGTTGACACTTACAGGGTAAAGTATTCTCAGAGCTTTAAGAAGACTGCTAACCAACACATTGTTGATTCAGAATATTCTGCCTCCACTTGCAGGACAGTTTTGAAGCCATCAACTATAATGACGGTATGAAAAATGTTGTTTATAAAGTAAGGTGAAGTAAAACATTTTTGGTTTGTCTCTGGTATCTGTCGGGGACTGACCCCGATCATGGATTGTTGGGGGACGAAATAGGCAGAGTCTTATGGTGGGAGATTCCTAAAAGAAGATTCCTAAAAGGGGGGGGAAAGGGGAGCGAACGGGAGGAAGACAGGGGAATAGGAGTTGGGTGCAAGTCTTCCTGTTCTGTTAGCAGAAGTTTATTTTATACACTTTGAGCAAGCAGTGAGATAACATTAGCATATAAATTGGCTGAGATCACAATCATCTTTTTTTCTGAGAAGTTTGGGGTCCTATTGACCTTCAGCTGAGATATAACATTATTAAAATCGATCTATTAAAATTAAGATAGGTACATAAATTCATAAAATTTAAGGCTAGCATTATTACATTTATCACAGTGATGATTGGCTAAAATAAAGTCCCTTTAAGCCTTAAATGCTACTTAATGATCTTCATTCTCATTGAGACATCTTAGAGGGTAAAGTCGAGTGTTCGGGTGGAAGTTGGGTTGAGATGTGAAAAAGGGTAAAGTCAAGTCGAGGATTAGGGTAGAGAAGTTTTCTTGTAGATAAATCACTAAAGGAGATAGTAAGATTCCTCATTTAGGACTAAGCAATAGAAAGCTTAAGTAAGCTAGTAGAAAGTAGCAGTAAAAGAACTTGTTATTTATAACATATTCTAGTACTGTCTTATTTTACAATATTGATTTTGCTGTAACAGCCAATTGCTTTTATTAATCAGCCCATTGTAATATTTTTTTACTTTAAGAAGAATTTCCCTCCCTGGGGCAGCACTTGCTTGCCTGGGCCAGGTAGCACCTTAAGAGACTAAGGTAATCCAGTTGCAAGCTGATGGTTGCTCAGAATATTTTGATATTACAAAAAAGGGTGGTCATTACATGAGCTAATGTGGAAATTCTGATTTTTCAGAGCTTTTCCTTTTGTATCTGGAATTTGTCAGTAGATAGAAGTTGCATAGCTTGTGTCAGGTATCTTTATTTCCTTTTTTCTAAAGTTTCCTAAAATTATGGGTTCTTTTGGAAGTCTAAAGTTAACAGAGATAAACCTACACTGCCCACTTGGATCCCTTTTTAAATGCTACACCATGCCTGAACAATTCTCTCTTCTTTTCCAAGGCAGTCCATTACAGTTTTGACCAACTTTATTATTCTTGACATTGACTTGTATGAAATTTCTTTCTTTTGAGTCTTGTTATGTAATCCAGATTCTGTGAACTTTGTATAAAATGCAAGTTTCTATATTTTAAATATGATTTTTAGTTATTTTAACGGCAACCCAAAAGGCCTAACATCATTCATTGATGATATTGTTATTGGATCAAAATTTTCTGTTACTACACATGATAGCTCTAAATAATGTGTTGTTTTAATTTAAGGTTAGAAAAGGAAGAAACTCCATACTATAGACTTGTTAGGAACATCATCGTGGGCTAGGTGTGAAGAGAGCACTCTATCTTGCAGTGTTGCTCTATTTTGCTTCCTGTTTAAACATTAATATAACAAAATTATAATATTTAAAAAAACTGTTTTGCATTAAAAAACTGTTTTGCATATATTTTCTATTGCCATGATCAATTTCCAAGAAATTTAAAACATTGCAAGGTGGTCATAAGGCATCCTATTTAAAAAACAAAACATCTTTTTCATTTGTTTTTTTAAGATTTATTTATTTGTACATACAGAACTGGGGTACAGGCCAGAGACTCAGGGGTGGCAAGAGGCTTCACCAGAGACAAAGTGGGGAGCAGAATAGGTAGATCGACGAAGTACACTGCTGAGGGGAGCAGCGGGCGGGTCAAGAGAGGTCTGCCACGCCATGTGGTCACCTCTGGGGCAGGTGGGAATTGAACTCATGGGGAAGTGGCTTTAGATTCTCAGTGCAGTGCTTTAACCCGCTATGCCACCAGGGAGGGCCAAAAAAAAAAAAAAAACTAAGTTGCTGTAATTACTAAAATGTTAATGGTTTTTCATCTCTGGCTAAGTAGGAATAAAAATGTTTTTGTTGCTTGTTTTCAGATTCTTGAGGTGGGTCTTTATTGCTTTTTTAATTAAAATAGTAGCTTGATGATTTTGCAACTAATATGTCTACACATCCAGTTTCATATTTTATGTTTGCATGTGTTTTGCCACCTTAGGAAACCAAAACTGCTGAAGAAATTGATGAAGCACTGATGACAGCAGGCTATAATCTTGAACAATTAAATGTTGCTGTGAAAGTAAGCATTTTTGAATATTAAATTCTGTCATGAATCAAGGCATGTTTTCTTTTCAATGTGTCTATTTAAATGAATCATATCACTAAGTGATATGAAACTACAGAAACATAATAAAGGAATGGAAAACTCCCATGACCAGCTCTAGATTTGGTCTTCTAGCCTTGGCGCTAGTAGTAGCTTAGTAAATTGGATCTGTTTTAATTTTATGCTTGCTATAAACTGAATTTTCTCTTGGAAGCATTGCGGCTCATTTCTGTAACATTGCTCTCACTGTGTGGCTGTAATGCCCTTATACAGAAAATTTTATTCTCTTTTCTCCCTCCCCCAATCCCCAAAAGAGAGCTCACTCATTTAGTAATAAAAAATAGGCTCCTAACCTCCCAAAAACAAATTCACAGCTAAGGCATTCAAAATATTATAGCTACTTTTAAGATTCAGCATAGGAAATTGAGAGGTGGGAACAAAATTCAATCTCTTAAGATTCTTGTAATTCTCACATAAAAATAAATTCACCCCATTCCAGTATAACAAAAGTCTTATCTAAAGTATTTAAATATTTATCTAAGTTATCTAAAGTCCAAAATCTCATCTAAATATTGTAAATCAGGTATGGGTGAGACTCCGGGTACAAATCTTAGAACAAAATTCTTTCCAATGGTGAAAATCATTGAGATTTTTATCAGAATGGCATTGAATGTGTAAATTGCTTTCTGTAGGATGGCCATTTTGATGTTAATCCTTCCAATCCAGGAGAAAGAGATGGCTTACCATTTCTTTGTCTTCTACTTCTTTTAACAATGTTTTATTAGTTTTCTTTGTATAGATCCTTCACCTCCTTTCATTAGATTTATTCCCAGGTATTTGATTTTTTTTGGTTTCAAGAATAACATGTAGTTTTCTTAATTTCTTCTTCAGATTGATAGTATATAGGAAGGCTACTGGGTTTTGTGTGTTGATTTTGTAACCTGCTGCTTTACTAAACGGGTCTATAATTTTGGAATCTTTTGGGGGAGTTTTTAGAATTCTCTCTATATATTATCATATAATCGGCAAATAGTGATAGCTTTACGTCCTTATCTATTTGGATAATCGGCAAATAGTGATAGCTTTATGTCCTTATCTATTTGGATTCCACATATGTCTTTCTTTTATCTTACTGCTCTGGATAGGATTTCCAGTATTATAAAGAAAAGCAGTGGTGAGTGTGGACATCTTTGTCTTATCCCAGACAAGTCCCTCAGGAAATGGATTTCAGCTTTTCACTGTTGAGGATAATATTGGCTGTGGGTTTGTCATATGTGTCTTTTATTATGTTAAGATATGTTCCTGCCCTCCCTGGTGGCGCAGGGGGTTAAGGCACAGCACTGAGAAACTAAAGCCACTTCCACATTAGTTTGATTCCCCACCTGCCTGGGAGGTGACCATATGCGGCAGACCCCTCCTGACCCGCCCGCTGCTCCCCTCAGCAGTGTACTTTGTCGATCTGCCTGTTCTGCTACCCAGTCTGTCTCTGGTGAAGCCTCTTGCCACCCCTAAACCTCTGGCCTGTACCCCAGCTCTGTATGCAAATAAATAAATCTTTTAAAAACAAAAGATCCTTCTGAGGATTTTGAGGACCTTTCATCATAAACAAATGTTGAACTTTGTCAAATACTTTCTCAGAATCTATTGATATGATCAAGTGGGTTTTGATTTTCTTTTTGTTGATGTGTTGAAATATATTAATTGATTTTTGGATGTTCAACCATCCTTGTGTTCCCAGAACAAATTGCAGTAGTCATGGTATATTATCTTTTCAATGCATTGCTGGATTTTTGTTGGCTAGGATTTTGTTACAGCTCATTGCATCAGTCTTCATTAGAGATTTTGGCATGTAGTTTTGTTTTTTGTGTGTGTGTTGTCTGGACATGGTATTAGTGTAAAGCTGGCTTGATAAAATGTATATGATAGTGTTCCTTCCTTCTCAATTTTTTGAAGGAGTTTGTGTTAGATAGGCACTAGTTCATTGAATGTTTAGTAGAATTCATTTATGAAACCATCTGGTCCTGGATTTTTGGTTTTGGGAGGATTTTGATTACTGTTTCAGTTTCACTACTTGGCAATTGATCTGTTTAGGTGTTCTATTTCTTCTTTATTCGCTTTGGATGATTGTATACTTCTAGGAGTTTATCCATCTCTTCTAGATTGTTGAATTTGTTTGCATATAAATGTTTCTAATTTCTATTTTTACTCCTTCTGGTTTTTGCAAGTTTTTTTTTTTTTTTCATTGTTCTTTTTCTAGTTCTTGAAGATGGTAGATAGGTTGTTTCTTTGAATTATTTCATGGCTCTTGATGTGAGACTGCATTGATACAGATTTTCCTCTTACTACTTTTGCTGTGTACCATACACTCTGGAAAGTTGTATCCCATTGTTTATCTCAAGGTGTTTTTTTATTTTTCTTTGATCTCCACATTAATACAGTGTGAAGATTTCAGTAGTATGGGTTACAATCTCCATAAAGCAGGAGTGTTCCTTTCGTTCCATGATTTATTTCAGTTTCATGCTTTTCTTATTGGAGAAGATAGTTGGTATTATATTTAATGTATTTTTTTGTATTTTTCTTATGACCCAATATGTGATCAATCCAGGGGAATGATTCATTTGCACTTGAGAAAAATGTGTGATAAGATTTTTTTGGGGTGCAGTATCCTAGAGAGGTTTTTAAATCCATGATGTCTAGATACTTATTTAGAGCTCGAGTGTTCTTGTTTTCCTTTATCTCATTGATCTGCCCATTGGCGAGACTTTGAATATACCGCATTATGTATTTTCTATAATGTCTGTTTTCAGACCTGACAGAAATTGATATATTTTGGTGCTCCTTCATTTGGTAAGTATATATTGATGAGTGTTACATCTTCCTCATGTATTGTCCCCTTATTCATAATGTAGTGACAGTCTTTATCTTTTTTTTTTTGTTTTACCTTTTTTAGTTTGAAGTGTATTTTATCTAATAAAAGTGTAACTGTCCCTGCCATGTTTTCAGGTCCATTTGTTTGTAGGATTGTTTTCCAACCTTGTACTTTCAATATTTGTTTATCTTTTGTTGTTAAATGTGTTTCCTATAGGAAACAGATTTAATCCAGTCTGCTACTCTGCATCTTTTTATTGATGAGTTTAGTCCATTTACAGTTAGAACTATATTGATATACTACTGCCATCCATATTTGCTATTTTGTTTGCTTTTTTGTGATTCTATCCATTACCTTATTCAGTTCTTATTCATTCCTCTGATAGTTTCGGTTTTAGTGATTCTTGCAGTATTTTTGAAGTGTTGGCTTAGTATAATAATAAATTTCTGGTGATTCTGTTTGTTTGAGAAGGTCCTTATTTTTCCTTTACATAGCACAGAGAGCTTTATGAGGTAAAGTATATTCTTCATTGGCATTTGTTCATTTGGAGTTTGTTGAATATATCACTCCATGTTCTTGCCTGTAGTGTTTCTTTGGAGAAGTCTGATGCCAACCTGATTGGTTTCCTTTTATAGGTAATCTTTTTTTTTCCTGTCTATGTTTTTATTGTTTTTTTTTTAAGATAATATAATAGTTTATTTTTATATCATTTTGTGCATTTTTCCATCTCAGTTGATATAGGTAATCTTTTTCTTACCCCTTGTCAGCTTCATTATTTTGTTTTTGTCTTGGACTCTTGGAAATTTTACTATTATGTGTTTGCTGTAGTATTCCTTTCATTGTGGTAATTTGGTGTTGTTCTAAATTCCTGTATGTCTGTTTTCATTTCCTTCTTCATGCTGGTGAAGTTCTTTTCATTATCCCCTTGAATAGTTTCTCAGTTCCCTACCCTTATGTGTTTCCTTTTTAATGGTGCCAGACAGTTCTTGAAGTGTTTTCTTCAAGAAAACATTTTTCTTTATACTTCTTCCTTTTCTTTTTTATATCTGTATCTTTGAGAGTACTGATTCATTTTTACATTTCTTCTATTTCTGTGGATTTTCCCAGAATTACTTGGCTCCTCCACTATTCTCGACATATCCTCCAGTCCCTTTACTTTCTTCTTTAGGGATTCCTTCTCATTTCTCAGCTCACTGATTGAATTCTTATTTCTTCCTCCATTTTCTCTTAATTCTTCCAATGTTTTCATTATAGCCTTTTGAATTCCTTATCTATGAGATGGAGATATTCTTTGTGTCCTATTGTCAGGTTGCAGAGATTAACTTTCCTTCTTTGTTCCCAGAAGGCCATTTTGATCATTTTTCTTTTTTTCCTATTGTCTGTTTCCAGTTTTGTTATCTATACATAGTGCCCCATTACCACTGGTGTTGGTGGGCATGGTTTCTGATTTATTTTGCTGGGCATGGATGCTTATTTATGGTGTCTTAGGTGCTGATATGTATCACAGGTAATAAAGGCATTAACTGCCTGATGTCTGGATAGTGGGGAGGGAGTTTTGGAAGCTTAGTATACTTTTCTAGACCATTTTGTCAATCTTTCAATACACAGTACCAACACAGATGTGATCTTGCTGACAAGTATGAAAATTTAAAGTTGAATTTTGTTACTTATTCCATTTTTCTCATTTAATCTCCTCTTGTGTTATTATTTTGAAAATCTAAAGAAGTATCTTGAAATTTCAAAATGTTGGGCACTAAATTTCCTATAAAATAAAGTACCAAACTAGTCTTTGTTTTTTTCCAGGTCCTTGAACACATGCACAAACAAACAAAAGAAGAGGCATTCAGTCTTATGGAAAGTCTGGAGAAACAGTTTGATCAGCTCTTTACTTCTCTTGATTCTAGGTAATATCTTAGAAATATAGACGCCTTAGAACTGAAGTCATTAACTTGTCATTTTATTCCTTTTTATTATGTAAATTTTAAATAAGCTTAATCTTCAAAATAAGCAATTTGTACTTTAAAATAGTTTTTAACTATTTGTCTTCTGTTTCCAAGGCTGTTAAAAATAAATGAGCTTCTTTCTTAAAGAAGATAGCACAGAAATTACTTTCAAAATCTGAATTCCTGTTGTAGAATGTAGCATGCTTGAGAAAATGTAAATATTTTTTTCTTATATACAGTTCCACAAACTACACAAACTTCATGTGTTTTTTTTGCATCAGAACAACTTATACTCAAATACTATATAATATCTTTCTAAGCAAATACTATAATTATATACCCATAACTGTAGAACACTTTTACACTTACATGATCTTAGGTTTAATTTCATAACTAATGACTTGATCCAAAAAAATAAATTTGTTAATGCCCATTTGACTTATTTTTTGTTTGGTTTTACTCAGGAGCCCTAGACATAGGCCAAGTACACCATGAATAGCTCAGTTGATATTTTTTATTCTTCCATATTGATGCTGTGGTCTTTAGTAATGTCACTTAATTGTTTTCCTTTTTTTATAGTAATCAAATATATCTAATGAAGTTTACCTTTTTGACAATTTTTAGGAGACATTGTTTATATTTTTAAAGAACATTCAAACTGCTTTCTGCTGTGGCTACACATTTTGCACCTATACAAGCAGTGCACAGATGTATAATTTCTTCATATCTTCACCAACAATTATATATTCCCTTTTTAAAAAAATCACCTTATTAATGGGTATGAAGTAGTATCTTAGATTTTTCCCCAACAAAGTTAATAGGCATCTTAACAAATGTATCAATCATTTTTTCTTAAGTTATTTCTAACTTTGTTGTATGTTACAAGGTAGAAATCATCAAATTTCCATCTTAGCAAATTAAACTTTACACATGAAATTGCCTGAATAATAGGCATCCCTCAAGGTTTTCAATTTTTTTAAACTGAAATGATATTGCATTTAATGCTGTATAAGTTTCACACGCTTATTGCTGAGAAGTGCACGACATGAAGTTCACCACTAAAGTCCAGGTCTGCCCTTCATCATGCCCTTGCACCCTTCCCCTTTTCACCCACACTCCCCTTCTGGTAACCACTAATTGGTCTTGGAGTCCAAGATTGTATTTTTGCTTTATTTAGTTCTGCTTGTTTTTTTTTTCTATATACCATGTGAGTGAAATCATATGGTATGTGTCTTTCTGTCATATTTCACTAAGTATAATTCTCTAGTTCCATCCATATTGTTACAAATAGTAAGATTTCATCTTTTGTATACCTGAATAGTGCTCCATTGTTTGTTATATATCTGTACCCAATTCAGCAAATAATGGACAGTTAGGTAGTGATGCAGCAAATATGGGATTGCATATATGTCTTCAAATTAATGCCTTTGCATTCTTTTTTTTTTTTTTTATAAATGGCCAGAAGTGGGATAACCGAATTGTAGGGAATTTTCAATCTTTTGAGGAATTTCCATGATGTCTTCCATAAAGACTACCTCAAACAGAATTTACATTACCTCTAACAGTATATAAGGGTTTCCTTCTCTCATATCCTCTTCAATACTTGCTATTTCTTGTCTTTTAGGTAATAGCAGGTATGAATTGACATCTCATTGCTGTATTCTGTATTTCTTTTTAATACAGATGATGAACATCTTTGTTCCTGTTGCCCTACCTACCTTATGTTTTCCTTGGTGAAGTATCCACATCCTCTCCCCATTTTTTTTTTAATTTTATAAATTTATTTACTTTTTTTAAATATGTTTATTTTTACATCATTTTGAACATTTTTTTCATCTCAATTGTAATCCCCGTGGATTTCCCATCATCAAGTCACCCATGTGCCATCACCATAATTCAGCGCACTTCCCTCCCCCACTGTTTTTTATCCCATTCCCCACTCTACCCCCATAAAATGTCTCTGGCATATAGCTATTCATTATTATTATTATTATCATGCCTGGTCCATTATACTCCTATGAGAGAAATCATCTGGTATATTTCTTTTTCTTTCTGGCTTATCTCACTAAGCATGATCTTTTCCAGTTCCATCCATGTTGCTGCAAAAGACATGTGTTTTTTATTTTTGGTGGCTGAGTAATATTCCATTGTGTATATGTACCACATCTTTTTAATCCAGTAATCTACTTTTGGGCATTTGGGCTGCTTTCATGTCTTTCCAGTTGTAAATAAACATGGGGGTGCAAGTATCTTTTTGAATCAGTGTTTTGTGTCTTTTGGGTAGAAAACGAGGGGTGGGATTGCTGGGTCATATGGAAGCTCCATGTTTAGCAATTTGAGGAACTTCCAAACAGTTTTCCATAGTGGTTATACTCACTTGCATTCCCACCAGCAGTGCAGGAGAGTTCCTTTTTGCTGTTTTTCTCCTCTCATCATGGTAGTTTGGGGTTCTTCTTGCTTGAATGTCTACTTTCATCTCCTTCTTCATATTAGGGGAGTTCTGTTATCTCTGTGAATATTTTCTCTATTCCTTGGCCTTTCTCTTCGCCTTCTGGGATACCTATAACTCTG